CAAATGTGATGTATATCAGACATGAAGTATCAAAAAATGTTCATGAAGTTCACGAGAACAATTTGGATGGATCCATACTACTTCACTAAGAACATAAATGGTTCGTCTATAATGTCATGTGCAAACACTCTGACCACACTTGGGTCGAATATCGAACGTCATGACAGAATACTTTGGCAGGTGAGGCATGGTGAAATTTTCCCCGATCTCGAATTAAATAATAGAGTGTCTGAATGCGTTTGGAATCACAGTATTGCCATACCCACATGGTCCTCCTGTCTTGGTTTTATCACAGTGTGCATGTGCCACAAAGTTTAACGCAGTGTATGGTTCCCACCTTCTAGCAAAACAGAGAAAACAGCGGTGCTGCAGTCCTATATGGGGTTCATCAGTTCGTTCTTAGTGGGGTTCATCTGTTCGTTCCCCACAAACAGGCGGGTGGTTCATGGACTTCAAGTTTCTTGCCAATCGAACCCATCAGCGTTTCCCGTGTTTCCGTCATGAAACACGTAATTTTTCCCAGCGCTCTTCAAAGCTGGTCTTGCGGCGGCCGTGGGTCGGCTGATCGATCAGGCCCAAAACGGAGATGGTCCAAAGGCCCAGCCGAAAATGCGGTTTTCCCGCCCCCAAGTTTGTTTCAACAATCTAATGGGACATCTGAAAACATTATAAACCATAAATGTAGGCAAAGGTTCCAGTCCCATGGATTGTTTTTGTTGAAGCAAAAGTGAAACCGTCCTGCGTGTTTTCCCTCTCGATGCTAACAAAACACCAACAGTCCGCCTATGGGAAAGATCCTTCGGGCACAGCGTCACTGCCACCAATTCCAACGGTTCGAGTTGAAACAAAAAAAAAACAATGTAGACTCTTGATTCTTGATAAACAAACCCAACCCACTTGAATCGAAAACCTCTTCCCATTGCATTATGGGGGGGTTATTACTCAAGACTCAAGAGACTACATTATGTTTTCAACCCGTTCAGTCCAGTTTGCCCGGGAGGGCAAATCCGTGCCAGGTAGGAATATCCGTGGCCAGCAAAGACTTTTGGCAGCAAACCTAATTCAACATAGCCTTCTAAAAGCCATCACCACTGTCTAACACCCACCAGGTTGTCTCTCTTCCACGATTGCATACCGCGTGTCGTTCTGCGGTTGGACATCGTTTTGCATCTCAAGATCTCACACCCTTCCCCACCAAGGCCGATTTTGACACTGCGAAAGATCCATCCAAATCAAAAAAAGGCTGCAACATATGTTCAAGCCGCCCTTCAAAACACGATGTTCGAAATCTGCCTTTTGCCAGGAAATTGTGGTTATAATGTTGGCCTCTTCCCTGCGTATTTGAGCCTTTTTACCAGGCATTTTCGCGCGGTGTGTTGCTTGGGGATGGTTGCGCTGTATCTTATAAACTGTGTTTGACATTCCGCACAAGCAACCTTCAAAAGTAAAGACACACACACATATAATCATATGACACGGAAACCAGATTTGCATGTGAAGGTGGAAATTTCAATATCGCCATTTTGTTTCTAATTGAGGCGACTGTTCCACTGAAAAATGCCCGATGTAACCCCCGTAATAGAGTCCTTGTTCACTAAATTCCTGAAAGGGAAAATGCGCGGCCAAACGTTGATTTCTTCCGCCCCAGGACAGGACACCGTTTTCCGAAAAAGGCAAAAACTTTGGCCGGAAAGATCTTCTAGGTATACGGATGATTCAGCAAAAACGTGTCTGAAACGTCTTGCATACTTTGCACATGACTCACCGGGAGATTGAGGCAATTGAACAAACATCTGTCAACCAGGCACGACTACCTTTGGAAACGGACTACCTTTGGTCGCCTATACTTCGATTCAAACTCTCAGGTCGGATGATTTGCTTTTGTTTTGAATCATCTGGGGAACCAGTGCACCGTTCACCACGGCTGGGCCAATGGCCGCAGTGTTTGGCCGGCTGCGCGGACGGCTGCAAGGTCTGACTGCGATTCTCGTCCGGGTGCGCTGGTGAAAAGGAGTTTGTAGCCTTCTAAGTCCATGTGCAAAATGGTGTACCAGGTTTAGTGTCATGGTGGGCCAGGAACCAAAATGAAAGGATCCATTTTCATCTGTACTGACTTGCTTGGGGCTATACCAAATATGACAAATAGAATGGACTACAATACTGTTGCATTTTCCCCAACCCTAGAGTGGTGTTGATCACTTGCAAGGGTGTTCCCCATCCAGCCAAACTCACAGTCATGTATATATAGTATATACTGTCGAGTGTCTTTACCATGTTCTTTTGAAGGGATATTTTTGGTCCTTCATCTCCACGCAGGGCCCCACCGCACTCGGCGTTTCGCTGCACGTCTCGTGGGCTGCTTTCGAGTTCTGCGCAGATTTCCCGTGCGCGGTGGGCCGGGGTCCGCCCCGACGACCGGCGTGCATCTGGAAGAGGCAACAATGGCAATTGAAGGAACAGGTCACGGAGTCATGGGATCAGTAGATATCTTGTGTACTATTTTGTACATATGTACTGTGGGGAGCCAACAGAAACGTATCTTATGGTGTTTTGATGTTTTTTTTTTAACACTTGCGCTTAGAAAAATAGAAAAGTGTCTGTCCTAGTCGAACAACTTCAACAAACTAGTGATGAAGTGGAAAGCCCTTACGTAAACAAATATCAAGGGCTCTCAAAGGAAATCTAACGAAACCATCCGACTCGTGCACCCTCCTTATTAGTGTGGCCGGCCCGGCTTTGTCCTGCGATGCTATATAACCTCTTTTGTCAAATTACATAAGCAAACCTTCTTGCCACCAAAACCCAATTACAGTAGTTTGAGCGTCGCCTCTCTCCCCTTTCTTGGCTATCTTTAATTTCACAAACTCCTCATCCTAGGGTCTTGTGGCCAGCTCATTCTTCTTTCCATTAACTCCAAAGAAACAAACCCCTCGTGCTGGATCATTGTTGGTGTATCCCTTTGGCATCTTGCCCAGTCAATGAGACTCATTGGAAGGCACATTGCAGAAATGTGTGAGTATATGAAGCAAATACCTCCTCTAATCAAGATGCCATGCAGGCACACTCGTGTTCCAGCCAACGGTGCTGCATGTATCGACCGTATTTCACCAGCCGATCAGACCTTTCTTCCCAATCTGTTCCCTTCCTGATTCCCTGTGAGGGCTCTTTCTTGGCACTCATTGACAACCTCATGGGCCAATTCCTCCAGCCCATTTAGCTTACTGCCATCCTCCAGTCTTGGCAACCTCTGCGATCATGAGCCTCTCCTCTTACAGCAATTGGGCTGCCTCCAGTATCTTATCATCGCTATCTTTCATTTGCTTCCTCCAAGCGTCTTTATCCTTTTGCAACGCTTTGGCTAATTTGTTCAATCTTGTTGGCCAATTCTTGCTGATATCCTCTGCCCGTCCACAACAGCCTGGCCAGTGTCCAGCTCCTCTTGCTCCATGTATAGTGCAACAAAGGATCCACATTGATTGCTCCCAATCATGGCCACATTTTTCCTATGGGGTGATTTCCTGACTCAAAACAGCATAGGACCTAATCCGTTGATGTCCGGCACCTCCTCTACATGGCCAGTAAAACCAATTTACCCATCATTCAGATCATACAAGAGAATCCTTAGTGTTGTCAATGTGAGGTATACCCCAACTAACGCCAATGAATCCCTGAAGTGATTAAATCTGCCTGTCAATTTGCCGCCAGTTGAATGCAAAGCAGTCCCACAACTATGGTCTGATCTCCCACCCATCAGCCTTCATCGGCTTCTTGGTGATCACTTCAGTCTTCAGTTTGAGTATCTCCATTTGCTAAGACCAAACCAGCTCCTCACTCATGAGGCCTTGATCAAGCAATGGCTCATGCTTCATGCAATATCTCCTGAGGCCGCCTCCATACTGTTTCATCACTCTGCATCTTGGCCAAATACTCGTTCTTCAAACATGTAGATGCCAATTGTTCATGGTTATTTTCCCTTGAATCAGATCCGCACCTCATTGTCAGCTGCACTCAACACCTCACCTTGACAACCATAAGTGCGAATGCCTGCCTGCCCATTTGCCTAGCATCACGGTGCCCTCCCCACAACTAGGCCAAATTAGTTGTGGACGGTTATAAACAGTTAATGCAATTGTTCATGAATCCAAAAAGATTCCCTCACGGATTTGCATAATTGACAACCCTGGATCCTATAGTTTCTGTCCCTCCTGGCATTTGAACACTATAGCTTCTACAATTTCAATCTTGGCTAGACTGTTGCAAATGCAAACTTGCAAGCAATAGGTTATACATTAGCATGAGGTTGTGTTCGCTCAAACAATGCTTTTTGCAGCATACACTCACGGTTCACACTCTTGGGCAAATAGGTTGGCAAGTCAAACTGTTCCCAATATGCATATACAAACATAGTTTCAGGGCTACTAAATAGCCCTTACTTAGCTAAGTAGCCTTTACTTGGCAAAGTGGACCTGGCACGCTAGAGGCTCCCGGGGGGGTCCCCAACATATAGAGTATATAGTTGTTTGTCGACCCCTCCTCTGTGAAATTATCCTGTCGACGCCTGTTTCTAATTGCGTGTATGCACATTTTATAATGTTTGGACATTCTTCAGAAAGATTGAAAGACTTACCAAAATACACGTTTCACTTGGGGCCACTGAATTCTTCGTTGTTACCTGTGCTGAGCAATTCCAAGCATCTTGGCTGTGAAAGCTTTCCATACAGTTGATAAATGTGTGGGGAAGCTTACGGCTCTTCATCTACCCCCAAAGGTTTCAATCATTGCCGAGTCTATGCCATCATCCCCCTAAAGACCCCATCTATCGGGCTCAGGAAACATCTGCCAAAACAAATTAGAAAGCGATCTGCGTCAGCTTCTTATCCTTTTTGCTCATGCAGCCATATGTTGCTCATTGTTGCTCATGCAGCCATATGCAGCCTAATCTCTAACACATATCAGCAAATCAAAGGTCCAGTTGCCTCAGGATAGCCTCAGGACTCACCTCAGGATGCTCCTCCTTTGGTCTTCTGGAGGATCTGCTCGGCTTCTTGGATCCTGAGGTAGAACGGTGGAACGAACAAGAACCATTCCAGCTGCAACCAGGGGCCCGAACCAAACCATGAAAAACAAAGGTGTTCACATCCCAAAACCGTGTTTTTTGCTAGGGAAAAGCTGGTTTTGGATGACACCTGTGGTGCCCCTGCAAGGGTCAAGGGGCTCAAGGGGGTCCTCAAGGTCCGGTACTTACAGCGGTACTTACCCGAACGTCTATATTCAACAGATCCTGCCAGTTCCCTGTCCCAGTTCCCTGCCCCCAGTTCCCTGTCCCCACCGGGATCCAAGTTGTGATGCTAAGGATCTTTTGCTTCAACTTCTCCTCAGAGTTCAACAAGCTCAAGATCTCATCGGGCCCCAACTCCAGCATCCTGGAGGGCGCGTAGTACGTACTCGGTGGGCGCGTGTGGAGGTTGCAGTGGATCCCACCCATTCGACTTCCAACGAGTCGAAAAAAAAAAAAAAAAAAACAAATGGGAAGGACCTGGTGGTTTCTAGTGCAAAATCCTTCGTGGATTCAGGATGACCAGCCTAAGTTAGGGCCAGGAAGCTATATAGGGTATAAGGAACTGGGCTGCCATTGGTCGGTCTATGGCTGCCAAGTATGCCTTTAGTCTTGGGAATGGAATCACTGGTGACCTTATCAGGTGGGATCCCCTGTATCAAAGATCCTAGGTCCTAGGAGTGTTTGTCTGAGGGCAACAAGCTGTTGGTATCGCTCATCTCAACACTGATCTGTCTCTTCTCCCCGATCGCATCTCTTTGAGCAAATTGGGTTATGCCGCTACTGAGCGGAGGCGCGGAGGTGCGGACAAGGCAATCCTCGATGTATAGGACATGTTCCCCCCCTCAAACCACACCGGCAGTCCCATGTCCAGGTCGTGTCGTGGACAGCTCATGGCAATCCATGGCTCAAGACTTGGGACATTTGTTTGTTTAAACACAAAAACACCGAAGGGGATTCACCCATACGGGAAAAAACATCACCTTTTCCTAGGGATCCAGTCGTACCTTCTCAGAAGATACGACTGGACCCTTCCGGCGCCTACATAAATAGTCTCCAATCACCGTACCTGAGAAGGTATGACTGGATCCCTATAGGGTTTATAAACCAAAAAACAGGAAGATCTCATCACCCGCGCCCAACACGTCGGACAGCTCCCACGGCGGACAGCTCCCACGCGACCTCGCGCGACGCGCGGTCAGGAGCTTCACCCGCTCGCGCGCCGGGACCGACCAGGTTCGGCCCAAGCAGCATTCCCGTCAGCTTGCCCGCCATGCTGGGGTGGAGCCGGGCGATTTGGTGATAGAGCCGTTCCTCGGTTTCACCCGGTGAAGTCGCCCCCAACGGCGGCCGGTGGATTCTTCACAAAAAGGTTGAATTGGACGGAGATCAGAAGCTCAAACACTCCATGGGACTGGCATATATGCCGATCAATTGGGGTGGTGCCAGGGGGGTCAATGGGGCGGCATATATGGCATACATGGAGTGTCTGGGAAGGGGTACTTGTTGGTTGAGAAACGTTGGTCATAGAGTCAGTGAGGAAGGAAGAAAACAGCAACTCTCAAGCAGGGTCATGCATCTTCCAGCTTCACATCACATCTGCTATTTTCACGGTGGTGGTCGATGTCGCAGCCCTGCAAATACAAGTAGAGGCTGAGTAAGGTCCTCGAGTACCCTATATGAGTCATATATATGGGAAGGCACTCAACCTGAAAAAGAAGCTGGAATGTCCACTATTAGAATGTTAACCCTCTCATCATCTTTCTCGGTTTCCCCGGTTTCCCTCTCACCACCTCTCGTGCGTGCTCTCGAAAACTCGCAGGTCTCCCTACTTCTGCAGGCGGACCTACTCCCGACCTCACGTGGTGCCGACTCCGACTCACCACGAAATCCGGTCCACAGCGATTGGCCTCGAGCTCAGGTGCTATAGACTTGCCTGAAGGGGGGGCGGTACTTGTCTCTTATAGTCTTACTCCTACGAACTCTGGAGCTTCCGTAAAAATCGACATCAACCTCCGGCCTCCTCGAAAATCGTTTGGAGAAAAATCTGTCCCAACCTGATAAGGGTCCAAGTACCTCCTTCTCGGATGGTCGTGGAGGTGAGTACACAGATGCACGCTATATGCATATATACTTCCAGAGAATGTCTTTGGAGAAGGACATCCGATTTGGCTGGTCCTTGACCCTTACGGAACAAGCACAAAGCCATGCCCAATTCAGGTACCCGCGTGCCCGACACTAGGTTCCGGTCTGGTTCTCCAGTCCGAGGCACGCCCAACTGCCTGAGTCGGGCGCCGATGTTTTGAAACGGATCTAAAGGTATACAGGACCAGCATACCAGCCACACCCTAAGGCTTTCAGGACCACCATCCAAGACCATGTACCTTTCACCTCCTTGCGACCCGAAAAAGATCCGAAAAAAGGAGGGTACCTGGACCCAATGTGGGACACTGGACACTGGACAGCCGCGTGGGGTCTTCCAGAATTGCAGACTGCAGGGTGCTGGCTGGTCGGACCGTCTACCCTCTATTGACATGGAGATGTGCGGAGGACCAGTGAATGGGACGTCCACTCACTCTTTTTCAGACTCGACCCGGTTCCACGGCTTTCAGAACATGGGGACAAAGTACGGTATGGCTGAAACCCCTGCCTCCCACTTTCCCAACCAAACAATTAATGAAATGCTTCCACAAACAACCACTTGATATGTAAAGGACCTCAATTGCCATATTACATCTTCGAACATCCAATTGTAGGGATTTCAATCCTGGACCGACTCGGCTTTTCCTGGTGCGACTAAGTCGAAGGTCTGGCACCCGAAGTCAGTGTTGCTCCCTTCTTCGCTTCCGGATCCACGTCCCTCAGCCACACCAGTCGTGAACCCCACGCGGCCCAGGCGGCTGTTTCTGCGCTTGCGCCGCAGGCGGCTGCGACCGATCCTGGGAGCGGGTGAGGTCGAACGGATCGGTGGCAGTGCGCAGGTGGTCATCGACCAGAACAGCAGAACAGGCAGAAGAAACGTTGTTCAAGTCGGTGGTAGGTGGGTAAATTCCTGTTTGATCCTTCTTGTTGAATAAACAGAACTCAAACGTGCCCCAAAGAAAGAGAGTCCCAACAACTTGAAGCGTTCAACATGAAATCTTGACAAAAGGTTGATACATTGATACTTATTAAAGTATATAGAGCCACGCTTGAAGTGCAATTCATCATGCCCGGGAAGATTTAATCGAATACACTCTGCTCGCTTCCTCCAACCAGTTCCGGGTCGCTGCTCGCTGCTGGGTGAAAACGTTGTGTGTGCTAGGTATTGTCGTTGTCGTTGTGGTTGTTATTCCGGTTCACTTCCTAAGCGATACAGGGTAATTTATTAAACAACATCATGGAAGTGGTCATAGTGTCCATTATGCTGGGATATATACTGCAGTGTTTTATTTGTTTAGCATGGTGCCAGATAAAAAAACAACATCCTATTCCTCAAATGGTCCAGTGCAGGAGTGGAGTTCGAGGGAGGAGGGCAGTTTGGGCATGGTCCACTTCATAAGGAAAACAAACAACCTGCAGGTTCTTCAGTTCGTGACCTTCGTGACCGAACTTGATCTCCTGGTTGGTTTGAGGTCACAATACCTGGAACCCCAAACAACCAGAAACAAATGGACCATGGACGTTCCAATATGGCAATTGAGATCCTTTACATTGTTTATGATATTTTATGATTGTTTGTGGAAACATCCATTAATGTCTGGTTGGGACTGGGTTTGCAGGTATAGTAGGCCTGCAACGGGTCACACGTGGGGACTCCGCTACATCGGTCACGAACTGAAGAAGCTGGCTCATGTCGCCACGACCCGGGCGGCCCGGCAGGCTGGACTCAACCCCACCCTAGGGATCCAAGTACCTTCTCAGGTACGGTGTTTGGGGTGGGTTTGGAGGGTCCAAGTGCCTTCTGAGAAGGTACTTGGATCCCTAGGGCCAAATAAGCGGACTTGCCAGGAAGTTGGATTTACTTGGTGAAAGGCCCTAAGGCTCCTGTCCCGGCCTCAGGTGACGTGTTCGACCTCCCTGGCCACACCGAACCGAAAAGGAGGGGGTGGCTAGTGGCCGAACGGAGCCCCAAAAAGGGAAGGACCCATTTACATGGAAACACAAAGGCCAAAGGCCTGAACCTCCACTTCAATTCAGCGATGTGCTTTCTGTGCTCTCTGTGCTCCTTGCTTTGTGCATCGGCGCTGTTGCTTTGGCTGAAAATGAACAGACCCAACATTTGGCTCGACGACTCCTCGACCTTTTTAGCGTGATTTTCAAGGGATGTGTTCTCTCAACAAATGGTTGACCTGCTCTCCTCACCCCTCAAACCTGCCAGTGCTGTAGGCAGCCCTCTTTTTCACATGGTTCCCGAATGCGCATTTCGATCTCATCTTTCCATACTGCAGTATCTGTTCATGCTTCCCATCTTCACTTATAAGATCCTGAGTTACACCGGGGAAGAGACCCACATAGAACCTGATGGCATGGACCCTTGGAAGACAGTTTTCCTATCAACCCGACGTGGTTTTCAGGTTCCATATTCCTTTTTCAGGGTGTAGAGAGAATGCTTCGAGAATGCGCATGGCCTTGGCGGCTTGGCCTTCCCAGAACCACTCAGGGACCGGTGCTATCGGCTTATTGAATGATGAACGCATCATTGAGCGGTCCATGAAGCATCCGAACTGGTTGGCGGTGCTGGTAGTTGGCCACGTAGGTACAACAGTACCTGAAGTCTCAGTTCGTATCTCGGAATATGGGTGCAAAATGGTACAACTATACCTGTTTTGTGTTTGGGTCATGTTCCATTCTTTAGTGTACGAACTGGAGACTCCAGGTAGATAACGATCCGACTCACTCAGTCCAAGCATCACCTAGACCACCCGCAGGCAGCATCGCGCCACCGACAGGGAGGGGCGGTCGCAGGGCGGCGTGCGCATGCGCGTGCGCCGCGTGCGGGTGCGCCATCGGCACCGCGGGTGGGAAGGGTGGCAAACCCACCTGCACGACAGTGGGAAGACATCCACTGTCGAAACGTTGCAGACCCACCCAGAAAGGGATCCATGTCTGGGTTCTGTAGGTCAAATAGCTTGAACGACGTCCTACTTGAAGTTCTCTGTGACCTGACAGTATGGACCCCTATTGGACCCGTCACTAAACGGACTCGACTTCGGGAGGCGCCTGGCAGGGCCGTGGGAAGGGCGGCAGGCCTGCCATCATGGGTGGAAGGCCCATCATCCTTGGCCACGTGAGGACGATGTCATCGTATCACATCGTGGCCCGAGGACGAGAACCCAAAAGGAGGTCTACTCTGAGAGAAAAGAATTAGATTGCAAACCTCAATTGCAGATGTGCTGGTCTTTTTGGTTGCTTGCGGATGCTTCCTGTTTTCGTATATCGAGAAGTAGCTCGCACCCGGACCCGAGGTCGACCCGCTCTTTTCCAGAAAGAAAGTCTCAAAAACCTTGTAACTGGTTGAAGGTCCGGATCCGAATTTCTTACGTAGCCCACCCAACGGACCGGGAAGTACCTGTGAAAATGGGACATGACCCGAACCGAAAACAAGCATTAGAACTCCCAGACACGACCCATGGGACTGCCAGTTCGGACTGCCGCCCCATTGACCCCGTTTCAACCACCCCTGGCTTGATCGGCATTTATAATATACCCTAAGAATCCTTGGGCTCTCCATAGCAGGGGTCGGACCCTCCATAGCAGGGGTCCGGGCCCTCAAAACCCTATGTGTTTGAGGGTCCGGATTCTTAGGGTATATACCATGTCCCATTCGTCGTGTCTGTGTGTACCCATTAGTCGTGTGCTACGAACGGGTCGACCTCGACTCCTCCGTCTCTCCGTACTTTCCTGCCCAAAGGGCGGCATGCCGCCCGGCATCCCGGGCCGGGGCATGGGCATCATGCCTGGCATCCCTGGGCCTAGCATCACCTGAGGCCAGGCAAGGCGAAGGACGAGGCGAGGGAAGACGAGTTCCACAGATGGAGGAGCGGTCACAGAGAACTCAAGTCACAGAAAATGGCTCAGACACGAATGGGACTGGAATAGGACTGCCGCCCCAAACCGACCCCCCCGTTTCAACATGTTTCAACCACCCCTGGCTTGATCGGCAATCCGGCAGTCCCAGATGGAGGTCGCGTCGCTTGGGCGAAGTCTTGGACTCGAAGTCGAGAACTCGGGCGTTCAGTCGTCGACAGACTAGTCTAGAACGGGACGGAGTCACAGGGACCCGAGTGAAGGCGCCGATTCCGAGTTCGGAGGTGAAGGAGTGCAGGTGCCCCGAAGGCCACTTCAGCAAACCACCCGACGGCCCGACGGCCCATGGTCGCCACCTTGGGTGGAGGCTTCGCCTTCGTCGCCTGTGGCCTCTTCCCTCCCAACAACGGTCTTACCGTCTGACCGGTCGCAAGGTCTGACCTTCTATCGGTCGCCCGGTCGATCCAAGCTTGGCCGTTCGAGGCCACAGGAGAAGATCTTCCATCTTCCCCAGGTTTGGAGATTCACCTATACCCAGACACAACCCATGGGACTGCCAGTTCGGACTGCCGCCCCATTGACCCCTCAAACCACCCTCAAACCACCCCAATTGATCGGCATATATGCCATACATGGAGTGTCTGGGTATATAGTCTCAGGAACAAGTAAATATCACCCTAAGCAAAACCTCGTTGGGGGGATTTTCCTGCTTTTAGCTCTTTCCTGCGGTTTTCTCAGCAAACAACCGCCGGACCCAAGAATGACATGCCGGTAAAAGGTTCCGAACGATGTCCAACTTGTGCTCGGTGGGTATTGTTTTCAGATCTGGGTGAATCACCTTCGATATGGCAAAGCACCTGGTATTTCATCAACTGAATCCTCCACAAGATGCGCTGCAAGCACGCCATTTAAACAAAACAAAACATTTGTAGGCTAGTTTGGTGACTGAACGTCTCCATCGAAAACTCCTTTCTTCTATTAACACATACAGTATATATTAACACCCTTTCTCTTATGATGTTGGTCCATGTTCCACGTTCCATATGTTCCATCTTCATTCCAGGCCTCCTTTTTCCGATGTGACGGGCGTGTTTTCTGGTTCTTCAGCTGTTGAACAGCACGTCAGTCCCACACAGACCGCTGCCAGGTGGCTCCTTGTGCGAAGGACGGTGCACCCTTGCCTCCTTGGCCCTTCGAGCGACGACCTCGGTCGAGCCCGGGAACCGTGGGCCGAAGACGGCGCCGAGGAGACCAACAGAGTTGGAGGGTGCTTTTGAATTGTCCCTAGGGATCCAAGTACCTTTCTCAGAAGGCACTTGGACCCTCCAAATCCACCCCAAACACCTTCTGAGAAGGTACTTGGATCCCCAGGGTGTGTGTTTTTCCTGTTCATTTGCATTGTTTTCCTTTCAGCCCACCGAAACGGCAATCCCCAAACACGGTTTGCAACGCCACACGATCCCAGCCAAAATCTGACAGCCATCCTAGAACTCCCACAACTCCCACCTCCTCCAAAAACGCATCCCATCCACAATCAGTCCAGATCTGCATCCGTCAAGTCGCCCTTCCCTTTGCCCTTCTCGTCATTCCTGGGGCCCTTAAAGCCTTCACCTTTCTCACCCTTGCCTTCGCCTTTCTCACCTCAGTGGCGACAAATGGTACCAACATCGATTCCTTGGCAATTGGACACGTCCCTAGATGTCAACATCTGCACCTTGAAACCCAGTATATGAGTAAAATGACTCCGTCATGAGCCTCCATACTAATCGATTTGGATCGTGTTTGACGGTACTACGTCCACTCGCCCGTGTGGGAAACACCAGGTCAACGAACACCTGCCTAAAACGAGGACTCTTCCGCTGTGACTGTGGCGCGAGGAGTCTTCTGCGGCGCGGCGGCGCTTTCGACGGATGTGCGGCGCCTTTTCTCCTCCTTTCTGAGAAGACCACGCTCAAAGGCTTTCCAAGCAGATCTTTTCCTCGGGGCACCAGGAAGCATCTGCGGGTGTTCTTCCGGCCATGTGTTCTTTCTTCCGGGTGTTCTTCGTGAATGGGAATGGATCCATCCATGTATGGAATATGTATCTTCCAGGACCACCCAACGGGTGGTCATTAGATGGAAAATTCATCTTCAGGGGAGTTTACAAACCACCCTTTGGGTGGGGATGGAGTATTGACCCCTTTATAGAGACCCATCCAAATTCTCAAAATCACCCTAAATGATCCTAAATGTAGTATTTTTGGATGGTCTGGGACAAGACTCAATAGTGACTAGTGGAGGTTCATTCTCTGATTTAAGCGCATGTTGGTCCGTACCCAAATTGGGCAAAACAGCTCCGTTGATTTACCGGAAAAGAGACAGATTGGTGTCGAGACCAGTGACCAGTGATTCCAAAAATTTGTGCACACATGCTTTTGTGTTGATCTATAGATGACAGTTGAATTTCCTGGCATTGGAGTTTGCAACAGGTTTTTCTGCCATCAGAACATCATGGTGTTGCAGGATATATGTGAGGAACCGTCCGCGCCGGGACCTCTATCAATCACCAGAAAATCACCGGTGAATATCTTCACACGACGAAAAAAAGGAACGGCATTGCCCTGCATTGCTCTGACCCTCCGAAAAATGCGATTTCGTTGAAACCAATTTGGGCATCAAGTCAAACAAATTAAAGAAATTGTTCTACCGGGACACTTGTGGGGTTGTTTATCAAGACCCTAGTATAAAAACACATTTTGTGGACACCCTCAATGCCATCTTTTCGGTGGGTGTTCAGATTCAACATGAGTAACATATTATATAAATTCACCCACCAAAAGCCGGGGAGTTCCACACTGTTCCACCCGCAAACCGCCTGACATTCAGCCCATGGATCCATCTAGCTCATCAATGGCCTTCTGTGCCTCTTCCTGTGAGGAGATCCTCGGCCATCCATGGACGCGGTACACGAACGCGGTGGAAACGGTCGGGCGACCTCCGGATGCATGGGTCTGAGTTGGGCAGCTTCGTAGGTGGGGTCACCTGGGTCTAAAGCAGAATTATCCAGGCAAGAGACCCCAAACAGTGCCTCCAAAGGTCTAAGTCTAAGGTCTAGAGGTATAGAAACAGAAGGCCAACTCGTAATGGGTTCCAGAAAAAGGCGATGCTGGTGATGATGGTGGTGATGATCGTGGTGATGATGGTGGTGATGGTGCTGGTGACGGTGGCGGTGGATATGGTGGTGATGGTGATGATGGTGGTAATGATGGTGGTGCCGGTGGTCATGGCGGTGGTGTGCAGATTTGGTGGCAGGTGCAGTGAAGCGTGACTCTTGGACATGTGGCTCGTTTTCAGAAGTTGTACGAAGTCTCAAGCGAAAGCTGCGTTTGGGCGCCTTTTCAAGTACTCTTGCGGCGAAACGCCTTGGTGGGTACTTTGTGGCAGGTGGAGCAGATTTCGTGGCAGGGGCAGAAATCTGCACTTTACGGGGGGTTTGCCCTGCAATGTCACTGACATTCCGGCTTGTCGGTTCTGGTAGAAAAGCAGGCTGGACATTTGGTTTCACATCATCAGCTTTTCGCCACTGCACCTGTTTGCGCTGCGGCTGCGTGGTCAAGACAGCCGTTAGGTTCATTGGCTTTATGTAATGTCAATCAATTTTGCCCTGGTTCAATGCAATGATTCAAACTCAATCATGTCCTGAGCACCAGGTCGATTGCCTCTGCAAAACTCCTGAAGTAAAAGCTCTGGAAGCTTCTTGGGTTCCTTCTTCAAAGTCGTGACTGCAGCATGACTTTATGGCACCAAAATGGTGCTCGCTGAGTCTTCCGCGCATGACCGCGAACGGTGTACAGGCATCCTGCCGGGATGCCCGCTCCACTGCATTGCCGGCAACCATCACAAGGTTTCGAACAGTGGTGCCTCCCAAGAAAGTGCACGATGTACGCTTGGCACCATGGCTGTGCATCCACAAGGAACCAACCAGTCAAGCTGTCCTCTAGAATCTGTAGCGGCGAAAAGATGGTGGAGCTTATCCATGATCCCAAAGCCAGAGTGATCTTCAACTGCCATGACGCTACGTAATTATGCCGTTGCAGTCCCACACTCACCCCAACAACGCCTCAGCCAAGAGAATTCGAAGACCCAAGGCTAAGGCCAAGGCTGAAGACTCGCCGGAGACTGAGAGGATGCGGAACCGGGTGTATAGGTCTGACATTGAGGGCCGCCAGGCCACTTATGGGCGCCAAACAATGGCATTGGATAGGTGCATAGCCCAAAAAGGCCAACAAATTTTTATTATCAATGATAAACATTACAATTACAATGAAAAGAATGGCAATGGCCTAGAAATACCTAGAACAAGCATTGCTAGAAAGGCATCTTTTTTGGCCCGACGACGTAGGTTTGAAGTGCCGCTTCTTCATCGCCTTCATGTCTTGGCCAAGGCCTCCCTGCATTCTGCTTCAGATGGTGGCTCCACATTGTAGCAGCAGTGGTAGGGCACCTCAATGATGGCTGATCTGCTAGCTCCCATTCCCAAATCACGTGCCCACCATGGATCACCTTTCAATGGCCTTCTAGAACTTGGCATTCTGGATGCCCTTCTGCAAATGGAATCTTCCATGCTTCAGAGCAAATTCGTCTCTCTGGCAAAGGGTAACTTTGCTTCATTGCCGGCCCTGCTCTCCAACCTCATCAATGCTCATCAATGGGGAGAATCCAACAGCTCTTGATTGGAGTTTAAGAACGTCCTCTTGATGCAGTGTGGTCTTCGTCTCCAAGACATGCGAGAATGAAAGCTGTCAAGCCGAATCTCGCTAATCACAATGGAGAGGTTATGATCCTCAAACCACTGCGTGCACAAACAGCGAAGGCTGTTTGAGATAGGATCAAGAAGCGCTGTGATACGTTTGGCTTTGGGCCAAAGCTCCAATGGTCATATGACATGCTTTCCAGTGCAAATATAAAGCCATTGCCAACAAGTGGCCAAATTCCCGAGAGGTGAATGCATATGGTTGGTTTCCAAAATGTCTTTTCCCAAAATGGTGCACTCATCGCAATTCCATGGGGGCCCGCTGCTAAATCTCCTTTAAGCTCCAACCATACTCAAACCACAGGGATGTTCAATATGAAGGCATGTCAACTGCAAAAATTTTGAGAGGTGTCTAGCGCGGACCTTTTCAGGGGCCTGTTGAGCTGCTGGAGCTGTTGTTGTTGTTGCTGCTACTGCTGCTGCTGCTAGACTTCTGCAGTTGTTTCCAATTCTCAGAAGTCTTCAGAACGACATAGGAAGGACGTAAGAGCTGACTCAAAACATTCAGGTGTTGGATGGGCAGATGGTCAAGAAATGGACCGTCGTCTAGCGCGGTGCTAGCGCAGATCTAGCGCCAGCCTAGCGCAAAAATATCCGTCGATTTCTTCATCCTGTCAGGTTCTTAGTTTTCCTGCTTGCTTGTCTTCTTCTTGTTGTGCATTCTTCTTCTTCTTTTTCTTCTTCTTCTTCTTTGTTTTTCCTTTCTCTCGTGTTACTTACTATTTTTCCTGCTCTCTGCTTGTTTCTTCTTTGCTTATCCTGTTATGAAGAAACCTAGCGCCAACCTAGCGCCAATCTAGCGCTGCCTTGCTGTATCACCATAGTCTGCTGGGGGCCCGCTTCTAAACGAAGACTTAAAACTCATCTCCAACCCTAAAAGTTTACGTTTATCTAAAATTTTTGAGTAGGGCTTTTTGAGTGCAGTCCATGTACTGTAAATAGCAGCGAATTAGCCGGACACGCCGATGCACTGTAAGAACCCGACCTCAATACCTACCGTAAGAACCCCTTGTGTTGCATAGTGTTGCCACACTGTTTGCGGGAAAACTGATTGATAGATCCAGAACTATCTGCTTCATTGCTTGGGGGAGTTGAACAGTTGTGCAATTTCCGGGATTCAGATCCCTGTTCGACCACCACCGGTTTCAGCATGACACGGCATCCTGACTGTTCCTACGCTGCTAAGCTATAGTGCACATGTCCACCGGATTCAGGCATGGCCGACCCTCCAGGATCACGTCGACGTCGCGCTGCAGCGTTTTCAGCGTCAAGCCCCTGTGGGAGTACCAAATGAACGGACTCAAAAGGTGCGATTTGATGAAGAAACATGAAGACACGAAGTTTCTAGTGGAAGTTGTCCAAACATATCCAAACAAGAAACAAGCCATGAACATTCACGAAAACCCCGAACGTCAGGAGAGCGAACGTCAGTCCTCCAGGCCCGAACGAACGAACTTGTATCCTCTTTCTCTGGCGGACATCGTAGGTATCCTACCAGTCCATCCAGAACGATCTTCGGAACTGAATTTCAGTGCTGATCCTCCTGTCCCACATCGGTTCCGAACACATCGGATTCCGAACCTGGTTGGGGTGACCTGTCATTTTTGTGGGGGGGTCCACCTGGCTGTGGGATAGGAGGTGAAACGAGGAAATATGATGAAAACACCATGCTCTCCAGGCTCAACATGTGTCCCCTCCATCCCTCTTCCCCTATAGAGATGCAAGGACCTTCTCAGGTGATTGGAAACGACACCGTTCGCTGCCAGCCAGTCGGGTCGGTCCCGTCGTGACCTTCTGAGGTCCCTCTAGTGTTATGACATAAAGCTGCCTGCTATGTCTGAAAAACCTTAAAATAGTTATTTTAGGAAAATAATAGGAATAACATAGGAAAAAAATAGAAGCTGAAAATAGGACAAAAAAAGGACACAAAGAGGATGAGTCTCAAAAATAGGAAAAGAAAAGAGCTGGATTTAGAAATAGGAAAGGAAAAAAAGGAAAAGAATGGCAGCACTCTAGGACAGGAACATAAAATGGACCTAGCCCCAGTGGACCCAGGTCTGGCGGACCTAGCCCCAGGGTACCTAGGCCTAGCCCCAGGTCTAGCGCTAGCCCCAGTGGACCTAGGCCTAGCCCCGGTGGACCTGGCCTATTTTTCCTATTTTTCCTAATTTTTTTCCTATTTGGGGGGGGTGCGAAAATCGTCCTATTTTTTCCTATTTTCAATTCCTATTTTTTCCTATTTTTACTATTTTTCAAATTAAAAATATGAAAAATAGGAAAAATTAGTAAAAAAATAGGAAAAATTAGGAAAACATAGGAAAAAATACACACCCCAAAAAAATATGAAAAAATAGGAAAAATTAGGAAAAATAGCCCTCCGTGGACCTAGGTCTCGCGGACCTAGCCTCCGTGGACCTAGGTCTCGCGGACCTAGCCCCAGTGGACCTAGGCCTAGCCCCGGTGGACCTAGCCCCAGTGGACCTAGGTCTGGTGGACCTAGCCCCAGTGGCCGCTTCATTCACTTATGTCTGACCATGTCTGACCATGCGTCTGATCGGAATGAGCCACCTGCCTTCCGGTAAATCTGAAATATTCTATCCTATTTGTTTCCAATTTCACGGTTGTTCTTGTTGTCAGCCCTATTTTATTCCTATTTTGTGTTGTCAGCCCTATTTTATTCCTATTTTGGTGTCCTATTTTATTCCTATTTTTTCCTAAAAATATATTTTTTTGAACACTCCAGAGATAGCAATAGCTTTTTTTCATAACTCTAGTGTATAGCCCAGACACGACCCATGGGACTGCCATAGATGCTGATCAGGCCAGGGGTGCGTTTGGGGGGTCTTGCTGGGGCGGCAGTCCGAACTGGCAGTCCCAGGTCCGGGTCGTGTCTGGGAGTTCTCGGTGACCTCCACTCTTCGACCCCCTTCTTCTCCATCCTATAGGCATGACCGAAGCGGTTCGGGGTCCCGTTCCTTCCTCAGGTTCTCCGTTCCTTCTCACCGTTCCTTCTCTCCACCGTTCCATCGGGATGGCAAGTGGCACCACAAAGCCAACACCACGATTCTTGCCCATGTCATCGGTCTTCCTGGGAGGCTGTGAAAGGGCGCAGGCGGCGGCTGGAGACTGCGGAGGATGGGGGGAAAGCTAAATTTCAGGTCGTCAACCTGTGGATCATGGCACCGGGGGAATCTGTTTGCTGGTGTGTTTTCCAGTAAGAACATGAACAGAGCATGGTCAACCTATGTCAACCTGTATTAGAACGGATTAGGGGTCCGGGCGCCATGACCCTGCATGACCCCTTTTCTGCCATGACCCCCTTCCACTTTCTCATAGCACCCAACGTTTCACCCAGGTCTCCGAAATGGTGGCAGACTTGCAGACTTTCCAAGTCGCATCGCAGGTGATCACCTGTAGAGTCGCCGGGTGGTATTCACTTCCTCTCTTGGTTGTTTGAAGGTTTTTTTTCATGGTCCATGGCGTCCATTCGTCACCAAGTGCGGCAGGAGGAAGCACTGGTATGATAGACCATCCATGGGAGTTGGAAGAGCTATACATACATCTACCATACCTTTATCCCATGAACATGACCCAACTCTTCCAGTGTCATGGGACAGTTTGGGACTGGAAGATTACATTGAGTATGGCAGTCCCATGGAGTGTATGGAAAAGGAATCTGGCCTTGTGATCCCTATAATATCCCCCCAAAGGCTCATGGGGTCCTCAAATTTCCACATCCAAAGCTACAGTTGTGAAGGTCAAATCCCTCCATCCTCGTCCTCCTCGTCCTCGATCGCCCCAGAAAGTCCCAGCACCAATGGATGCCCCCCCCCCATGCAGTCCGGCCGAGCCACAAGAACACGGCGTGGATCGTGCCATAGGGCTCCACAGCCCTGAAGCATCGACGTTCACGGAACCCGGACAGCGATCGAGGCAGGTGGGACCAAGCGAGAAGCGCGTTCCGAATATATTCACTGCCCAAATGAGCGAAACAGCCTCTGCCAAAACGTATACTGGATCAAGATCTGTCAAGATTTGAGGACATGGTGAAAAGCAAGGTGAACGCTTTTGAGGGTGACCACATGCACGTTTTGGCGGTTGCTCATATGAAGGATCTGGACCCTTCTCCAATGGCAAGGCTTACTGCGAGGCTCCCTGACTGGGGCCCCTGACCCCTGCGTTTCCAGGTAGGATCCGTCAGCGAATCGTTGGGGTGGAAAACCCTGGATGCATTGGATGGGCGAGGCAGGGGATCAAAACGATCAAAGGAAGTCAAAACTTCATGTCTCGTTGGCCATCTTCGTCTCAGTTCTCCCCGTGGCGCTCCGGTCCACCTTCGTCCATCCCAGTCCCCCTGGGCGACCCCGGCTCTCGAAGCTGTTCCGAGGTCACGTCCTCCGACAGGTTGCGAATGCCTCGGTGGGGGGGCCGGTTGGCAGTCGCTGCAAACTGCGGCGTCACTCGGGGCCGGTGTGTCGGTGGCGGTCGGCGGAGTTCGGCCTTCCGCGAAGGTTCCGTTCACAGCAGTCGGACTTCGGTGACCCAGCGACTCCGAACCCGGTCCTTCTCATCGAAATCAGCAGCCTGGGGAAACCAAAACCATCCATCGGATTTATTCCCTGTGGACCCGACGCGACGACCTGCGTGATGACTGACGACTCGCCCAAGGTGCAAAGGCGGATGCCACCTTTGCCTTTACCCTCGCCCTTTCCAGCCTTGAACGGTTGCCAGAGCGGTTGGCGCACAGAAGGACTTGTGTGGCATGTGGCATGTGTTTAGCACAAGCACGCGCGCACAGTTGTGTGTGTGTGTGTCCACCCCTGGACAAAGGGTAATTTCCACCGATTCAACTACCACTCGTTTCACCACGGATCCACAAGCAGGGGGATGGAGAGGACATGTGAGGCTCCATCCAACGAAGCTCCTCAC